TTTTTGTGGGTACTTTCCCCCACTATGTTTGAGTTTGCGTTTGCTAAACTCTCTAACGAGTCCCGTTCTACAAGGCTCTTAGGATTCTCTTTTTGGCGGTCAATCTTTTGATGAGTACAAACCCTCACCCGGTTTTTGGATATGTGTTGGCGGCTTATTGTCTCTGATCATGCGCCTCTGGGGAGTAATTGCTTTTTCTTTTTGACTTTTCTGTTTTAGTCATCTGGTTTTACCAGGGATTTCTGTAGTTTGGCTTTTCTTGTTTTAGCCATTCGGTCTTGGCCGGGGATTTTTGATTGCCTCTTTTTTAGGCAGGAATCCTCTGGGGATTTGATTCTATTGGTTGCGCCTCTTGATTAGGCAGAAATCCACTGGGGATTTGTTGATTTTTTTTTATTGTGCCTCTTGATTAGGCGGGTAATTCAATAGTGGTGAAGGCTTTTTACTTGTTGTTTTTCACCTCTGAATAGGCTGATGTTCTTCTTGAGGATATTTGTTCTTGATAATACCTCTGAGTAGGTGGATGCTTTTTGAAAGCTTTGTGCTTGTATTACCTCTTATAGGTTGATTTCCCATTTCTTGGGGATATTTGTCTTAGGCAGAGGCTCTTCTTGGGAGTGAAGGTTTTGCACTTCGCTGGGGATATCCATATTGGGCGTTATAGGTGATTAACTCCCTAAGGATATGAATTTGTAGTTTGCCTTTGCTGGTAGGCTTGCTGGGGATTTTTCTTTTTGGTGATCCACCTGGGATTTGATCGTCTTCTGGGGATCTATTTTGAATTGCCCCCTAGGGAGGAATGGAGTTTTTGACTCTGTATGATGGGCTCTTGTGTAGCCCTTATTCTCCTTTGAGGAATGAAGCGGAGACTCTTGCATGAGTGTGCTTAATGACTCATGTGGCGATGAAGCTGAGTCGTGAGGTAATCTTTTTGTTTTGCCTCCGGAGTAGGCAAGGATCCGCTTGGGGATGATCAAGCCTTTCCATTGGCTTTTCTACGT